GCTCTCCGAGTTATCATATGTTCGGGCTAGTTCCGAACAAGTACAATATCTTTTTCCTGAATTCCGTTTAATCTTTTGCACTTTTTGGATGTCTGTTTCATCAATCTTTTCTCCATTGTTATCTGTATCTTCATCCCCTGAAGACGAATATTATTCTATAATTCTCTTTTTCGATTTTCTTTGAAATCATTAGTTACTAATTCTTCTTCACTATCTGAACTAAATAGTCTTGTCGTTTTGTTCTTCTCCATGGGTGAAATAATTTCTAAAATTTAATATTAAATTTTAAGTTTTATATTTAATTGTAAGTACATAATATGTATATTGTATATTGCATAATATGTATTATGTATATTGCGTAAATTTTGCTTAACTGCATTAATTGTACGTACTGATAATTCAACTAATGCAATTATCCAAAAACTGAGGTTAACTTGTTAAACACTAATTAATTAAAATTAGACATTATCATATAATAAAGACATTATCAATAATAAATATCTTAATTTAAGTATAAATGGACTTAGGACCACTTTCAAAATAAACGGCTCAATTATTGAACTAACTCTGAAAACTTTTGTGTCCAGAATTATCGTATTTACTCCGAATATAAGTAACCTTAAATGCTTTATTGATAGATAACTTGAATTTGTACATGTAACCACGGGCAACCGGAAATAATTGACAAATGGACTTAGGCCACTTTCAAAATAAACGGTTCATATATATATGAATATATAAAAATACTTCTTTTATGTTCTCAAATCGAGTCATCGTGGGACTTAGAGAGATGCTTCTACATAATGAGGTAAGTATAAAATAATAAATTAAAAGAAACTAATATTGATATTTCCCTGTTGTAGGATGTTCGCGAAGAACACTGTCCCTTTAATCCTACCACCGGTGGTCGCATCGCAGGTACGTATTATATCAGGTACGTGTATCGCGAAGAGTAGGTTCTTTCCAGGACTCGAGGTCGCATTCTTCCTCGCTCGAGGTCCTCGAGGTCCAAACTTAAATCATATATTAAAACGCCTAGTCGGATCATAAACTAAAACATAACAATAATAAATTTGATCTGTCAGATTCGCACAGTCATTTCTGGCTGATCTCGATATCACTACGTCTCGCGATCACCTGATATCTCTCTCGAGCGGTCAGTCCCGAGGATCTACTCGGGTCCAGTCAGCCAATGTAGAAGGACTCGCCTGCCGTCTTCGTCGTCATCATTTCCTCCAAGTCGAGGTTCAGGATCTTCTCCCTTGCACGTCTGCTTCGTGACCTCGGAGTCCTCGGGGTCAGGATACTCATGGTCGCATCCCTCGGGGTCAGGATATTCCGGGTCACGTCTCTCGGAGTCAGGATGATACCGATCACGGCTCTCGAGATCCTGCAGATCCCGATCTCGTGCCTCGAGATCCTGGTTTCGCATCTCGAGATCCGGCTGATCCCGATCACGTACCTCGAGATCCTGATGATCTCGATCACGTGCTTCGGGGTCAGGCCGATCCTGGACGGGCCTCTCGAGGTCTGGTTGGTCACTTACGGTCCTCTCCTGGTCCGGACGGTCTCGTACAGTCCTCTCCTGGTTCGGATGGTCCTGGATGCTCCTTGTATGGTCCAGATGGTCCTGGCTTGGCCTGGGCGTTTGGTTGGTGTTGTTAGTGTTAGGTTAGGTTAGGTTGTAACCGGACACAATGGGGTTCGAGCCCGAGGGGCTCGCACATGAAGAAGCAGGTTCCTTTCGGGACGCAGCTATTTCGGTCGCCACCCGTCCTTTGATGCAGCAGCGCAGCGGGATCCCCAGGAATGGACGGGGAATCGGGGACCGAGACACCAACACCACACTGCTGTTTAATGATTATTTATTCGTTACGTTGGGCCGCCTAGCCGCCTTTACACCGCGTCGCGAATATAAATCTTCGCCGCAATTTACGCGGAACTGGTTTGAGTGGGCACGGGGGGTGTACACGTCCGCTCTCCGTGGCGGGTGATCTCCCACTGCTTTTGTTTGGCGCCTTCGCGCCTTTCGCCTCTTAGAAAGACCACGGGTCCGTCTCAGAGGCGAAACTCTATATGCCTCGGATAACAGACGCACACCGCCCGCTCGTACGTTCACTCAGAGGGCGCTAAAACCGGGTCGGTAATACCGACTTCCACGTTATTAAAATAAACTCTACTTATAAAATTGTAAAATAAACTTTGCTCGCTTTTATAAACTTAATCCTACGCGTATCATTATAAAGAAATGCATATAAAAATATATATATATGTATAAATATATAAACAGCATAGATTACGGTATATAAATTTATAAACTTAATTCTAATGACTATTATATTTTCTTTTCAGGTCGCCGCGGGACATTGGACGCCTCATCGTTTTTGTCACCCTCTTCAGGTAGGTATTGCACATTGCATGATATTGTTGTTATACACTAATCTACCCTTTTTCTTTACAGGTCACCATCGGATGAGACATACCTCAGGTAAGTATCTTAATCTATATAAAATTAACTTTAATAATTCTTTTTGATTGATTCAGGTCATCGTTGGACTAGACGCCGCCCTTGGACAGGATGCAGCCCACACGGTAAGTATACTATACCTATATCGCACTTAATACTAATTTGTTTCTTATTTTTCAGGTCGCCGCGGGACAATATGAGTCTTTATTGGTTCTTCGTCATCAGGGTGAGTACAAGTCAAGGCTATCGATTTGGTAATTAATCTATTTTTGTTTTCAGGCCATCGTTGGACATATCGTCGCCACTCGACCCTGGACAATTTCTCTTTATAAACTAAACATGTAAAACTCTACATTTGGACCTTTCGTGAACTCTATCAACTCTTACATAACCTTGGCTTGTACTACCGCTTTCCGTTAGTGTTTCTAGGCTTACTGTGGGATCTGGGAGGTGTCTCTTTAACTAAAATAAAATAATCTTCTCGAAACTTGATTTTCGCAATCAAGGCCGGCTTCCCAGACGCCACAGAGCCTCCGGAAGTTTTTGTCGGTTTAAGAGTCTCAGGCTCTCGGATGAGACACGCGCACTGCCCCACTGACACTCTTTACTCATTTACACCCGAAACGGCGAGTTTCCGGGTCTCACGCCGCCTGGATCTCGCCGTCTCGCAGTCAGTCGGAGTTTATTGCAAACGGAACTTAAAATATAACTCTAATGATTATAAATAAACTATTTATCTCGCCTACTCGAGGTCCACTGTCCCTCGAGTCATCTGGCGAGGTTTAAACAAAACTTTGCATTGCGTACTGCTTTTCCCGCTGACTCGAGTGTCCTGGGCATGTTCGCGCTCTCGACCTTGACTTCCGGACCAGTCTTACACCTATGACCTCGATATACTCCCTGTTCCTCGAGGTCCTCCTACTCGTCGAAGTCCTGTCGGTCCTTGAGGAGCTCCGCCTACTCGGAACCTGGTCTCGGGGTTTCCATGTCCTCGAGGGGATCTCCGGTTTCGGGTTGCTCCTCGGGGTCAGTTCGGTCCCTCGTGGATTCCTCCTCGGGGTCTCGGTGGGAGGTATATCACCATCGGGGACCTCGGCTGTTCTCGAGGTTCGTGTTCTCGAGGATCCTTCCTCCAGTTTCGCTCCACGCGGTTACGGCGACTGGTAACTCGTTCCTCGAGGTCAGGACGATCGCGAGTCCACGTCTCGGGGTCAGGATAGTCGCGAGTCCTCTCCTCGCGGTTAGGACGGTCACGAGTCCTTTCCTCGCGGTCAGGACAGTCACGTGTCCTCTCCTCGCGGTCAGGACGGCCACGAGTCCTCTCCTCGCGGTTAGGACGGCTGCTCTGCCTGCTCGTTCCGGATGACCCGGATCGCTCCGGCGGACGGGTTGGTTTGGTTAGTATGGTTAGGTTAGGTTAGGTTAGGTTAGGTTGTAACCGGACGCCGAGTCCTTCCTCGAGTCCGAGGGGTGAAGATTGCAGATCCACAAGGTATGGAATAAGGTTGGTCGCCACCCGTCCTCTTTGTTGTCGCACGGCGCAGCACTCTGCAGGGATGGACGGGGATCCCGAGATAAGCAACACCGCACTTCACAGTGTAATTCACTTTGTTTATTGTTCCGTTGGAATACACAAGGTCGACTACTTACGCCCGGTGGCGTCTATATGCTGCGGCGAGGGCGCACCCCGATCGCCGAGTCGATTTACGCAGTAACGTCGCGTTCACGGAGCGGCCCTTCACACGACCGGAGGTCTCGACGGTCTAGGACCAACTGTTTGTACGGACGGTGCTTGCGCGCCTTCCGCACTCTCAAACTCTCTCTCTCACTCCTCCTCTCTCTCTTTCGTTCCGTCGCTCTCTCCAATCGTGCCAAGTCCGCTTCCCCATCGCGGACGCTAACATGCGCACGCCATGCGCAGACGTCGGCAGTCGAGTAACATAAATCTTTCATAATATGATTATCAAAACAAAACATTCTTATAAAACTCTTATAAATAATATAAACTTATATTATATATATCTACATGCTTAATAATAATATGATCTTTTTCTGTTCCTGGTTTGACGGCAGCGCGGGACATCGTGGGACATCGTGAGACGTCGCGGGATGCCACCAAACACCGGTAAGTATAACAAAAACGAAACTTCTAAATGATTTCTTTCAGGTCACGGATCTCGTGGTCAACGGGCCTTCGAGATCTTTATCAGGTACGTCGTTCCAAGTAAGTATCTTACAATACGTAAACTAGGTAATGATCACGGGATCATAATGATCCTTGGTCTCGCAAAACAAAATAAAAGATTCTATAATGCCTAGTCGCTGGGTATAATAAACTAAAAACGATATTCTTAAATAACGGATCCTAAGTCACCTCGGGAGATCTCGGCCCGATTCGGTAGCCTAGTCGTGATCACCGATCGCTCGAGGTCACTGTAGGTGATCTCTTATGATCTCCACAGATCTCTCGCGACCACCAGTGACTCGAGATCACATTCGGTGATCTCCCGAGATCACTTAGGATATCTAAAGTCTACTCCGAGTCAGCAAGCCATCTCATGATCACGTGCTGGTCGTGATCTGTACCTTCATCAGGATCCTCTGCATGCTCGTCCTTTCGGCCTAGGTCCACTGGGTCAGGATCGCTGCTCCTCCGTTGACCTCGGTCCTTGGTGGTCAGGATCTCGGGGTCAGGATGATCCCTGGCAGGCATCTCGGGGTCCGGCTGATCCCTGGTCGACATTTCGGGGTCATAAAGATCCCTCAGCATCATCTCGGGGTCAGGATGATCCCGGATAGACCCTTCGCGGTCCGGATGATCCCTGGAGGACGTTCGGGTCAGATGATCCCGATAGACCTTCGCGTCCGGATGATTCCTGGAGGACGTCTCGGGGTCAGGATGATCCCGGACGTAGCTCTCACGGTCAGGATGACTCCTCAGCGACATCTCGCGGTCAGGGTCATCTCGACTAGGATCCTTTGATCCCAATGCTCGCCATTCCGGTGATTGGGTTGGTCTGGTTAGGACTTGCTTACCTTCCACAGCCCCAGCCACCGTCCCCAGCTGTTTATGGGACTGGTTTACTAGCTGGATCTTTAAAGATGTACTCCTGTTGTCGGTGATGCTTGGACGATTTCTTCGCTCGGCGTCCCGGAGTCGATGTCGTGTCCACATTCTGCCATTCGCTCGGCCTGCGGCCTTCTCGACTCTGCAGCTACTGGCCGCTGCACATCCCGCCTGATGGCGGATCTACGCTCGGTACGTTCGTAGATTCGGCGTCACTGGAGTCGGATGTGTCGCGTATGGTGTTGGATAGTCGTCGTTCGGCAGCTTTCAACTTTTCCTTCTGTCTTTGGCGATATCGTTGATTTGCCAAGCGTTTTTGTTCACGTCGGCGTTCTTCTATAGTAGCTCGTGATGTTCTTCGTATTTTTCGTGGTTTAGACTCTTTTTCCCTGTAGTAGCTTCGATGATGTAGCTTCTTAGAGGATTCGTTGTTATTGTTGTCTTCGAGTCTTCTTAGTTTAACCACTGGTTTTCCGGATGGTTCGTGGATTTTGGGCGAACCATTTTCCTTCTCGCTACCACTGTTTTTGCTGAACATTTTATGTTTACTGGATTTGTGTTCTTTTTCCAGCTTTGCGCTTGGTCTTTTCTGAGCTTTCGGTTCAGGACTTTCAGGATCTGACATTTCCCATATTTGTGCTTCGGGTGACATCGTTTTTACTTCAGCTGCTGGGCTTTGGGATGCTCTTGAAGATGTTCGCTTGCTCTTGCTATGACCAGTGGATCTCTGTCTTTCCTTCGATGATTCTCGGTATGGATCCTTGGTTTCTTGCTTCTTTTCGGCGTCTTCTGACGACGACGAGGCTTCCAACTGACGAATTACCTCCTGGTCTTCCGTTATCAGTTGTTTTAACTTGGAGATTTTCTCCTGTAGCCTCTGCGTTTTGATTCTTTCGAGCTGTTCCCTCCTTTGTCGAGTTTCTTCTCGTTCTCTGCACAGCTTGTCATACTCTCGTTTAGCGTCCTTGTAGCTCATGGTTGGTCTGTAATCAAAAAGAGAAACGCTCGGTGTTGAGAGTGTTCTCCAATGGTTTCCTCGCGATCAGTATGATCTCGCGATTTCTTGATCACGATTCAATTTATCTCATTTAAGAGGATTTCTTTGTCAGGATATGTCTTTGTTCAGGGTGGGTCATGAGTTAGGGTGGGTCTCAAGTTAGGATAGATGTCGTGTGCACGTCTACGTCGAGGATGTTCCTCTCCCGCCTGTCCGGTTTTTCGGTTGTCTCCTGGCGCGTTTGGGTCGTTTTACTACTTCCCATGTGTCGTCAGTGTCCGGCGGTGACTCCAGTGAGTGCTCTGTTTTACTCGATCTGCGGGGCTGAATCCAGCGGTCGCACGAGTCTTGCGAGTCGGATGACATCTTTCTCGCCATCACTGATAGTCGAACTTTCCTCTTCGGCTGTTTCTGACGTGTGGTATTCGGTGGACTCTTGTGTTCTGGTTCATACGGTGTTTCCTTTTCGGTGCTCTCTCTGATGTCGTTATCGTCTGTTGTCATCGATGGTTCTTGACTGGACTGCTCTCGGTCGATTTCCACTCGTCTCCAGGCTGAAGTTCGATGAGGTCGCAATTGACGCGTGTTGAATGCTCCAATGAGCTCGGATGTCATGCGCTCGATTGTGTACGCGTTCGGATGGATTTCGTTACGCACGCGAAACGGTCCTTCATAGAGAGGAAACAATTTATAAATTTTACCGTGGCGCTGGTCGCTACGTCGGTGCGATTTAATCCATACTAGGTCTCCGGGTTGGTACTGTATCGCGGTCCCTTTCTTCTCACTCTGGCGCCTTCGCTTGCGCGCCATGAGTCGAAGACGCTCGCTTGCGGCTTCTTTCAACCTGTCACGGTCTATCTGTGGCATTCCTCGAGATCGCAATATCTCGGGAGGTCCGATCACGAGATCAACCTGACGATTTTCTAAAATCGCGGGGGGTACTCCGGTGCTTGCATGCTCAGTCGCATTGACGACCTGTTCGACGCGGGGTACGATTTCGTTCCAACGCCGATGGTCCTCACACGCGTACGCTCGCAATGATCGGCCCAGTTCTCGCATCGCACGTTCGACGGGATTGCTCTGTGGGTTGTAAGGGGTCGTTCTGCGCACCTTAAAACCCATTCGCTGAGCAAATCGTCGCCAGTGTCCCGCGAGGAACTGGCCTCCGCAATCGGTCAGAATCGTGTGCGGTATCCGATTCACGTCGCGAAAATAGTACTCTTCGAGTACTTGCTCGATAGTTTGAAGCTTTTGATTTCGCATCGGATACATTTTAGTGTATTTAGAAAATTGATCCATCACCACGAGTATATACGCATATCCGTCATAGGATCGTGGTAACGGACCGTATAGGTCGACGGATACGACCTCGCCTACGTCTTTTGGCAAATCATAGTACTCGGGACCACGGGCTGGCCTCGAGTAGACCTTTGTCGCAAGGCATAGGTGACACGAAGCTACTACGTCTCGTGTCAGTCTTTCGACGTTGGCAATGTCAAAATATCGCCTTGCGAATTCTAGCACTTTGTCAGTGCCGAAGTGCACCAAAAACTGGTGTATTCTCAACACCAGTTCCCAGGCTATCAGATCTGGCACTACGACTCGGTCGCTTCCGTCTTCCATTATACGTCTAACGAAACCTTCGCGCATTCGGTATCGTTCCGGGTTATCCGCGACTCGATGTACCGTCGGATGATCGTCCATCTGCGCGTTTCGGATCAATTCGACCCAACCGCGAATGTTCTCACCTTCTCTGATATCGGCCATTAGGCATATGCGCGGCGCGAATTTTTTACGCCTTTCGTGATCCCATTCGTGGTTGGCATCGCACGCATCACTCGACACGGAAGAGTCGGATTCGTCGTTTCTACGATTCCTCTTCCAACGTGTGCTTCGTTCGGTCGGGAAACGGTTTCTCTTACGTACTGGGTTGCGCGATAATGCGTCCGCGGTAGCGTTAGATGGTCCTGGTACGTGGTGGATGTCCAGATCAAATTCTTGTAAGAAAGCTAACCATCTAGCCATGCGCTGGCTCGCTACCGCGCATGCACTAATAAATTTGAGAGCTCGATGGTCGGTTCTAACGCGCACCTTTCTTCCCATCAGTAGAACTCGCCATTTCCTCAAACACCAAACTAGAGCTAATCCTTCCAGTTCAGTTACCGTGTAGCGGCGTTCGGCGCCTTTCAGGCTGCGGCTCGCGTACGCGACAGTGTACTCGCAGTCGTTGTCGTCGATCTGGAACAATCGCGCTCCTATTCCGACAGTCGACGCATCTGTCTCGATTCCGAATTCTCTCGAGGAGTCTATCAGGTACAGTTGTTTCGCTTCGCGCACGCAGTTCTTGATGTCCGCAAACGCTCGCTCGCTTATCGCGTCCCACTGAAATCTGGTATCTTTCTTGAGTAGCCTTTCCAAATGACACGTATATCGCGATAGATTAGGGATGAATCTTCGATCCCAATTGACCAGGCCGAGAAAAGCTTGCACTTCTCTCTTGCTTCGTGGTTTTGGAAAGTCTACTATATTGTGTTTAGTCTCGTCGGTAACAGTTACGTGAACTCGCGAGATATCGTGTCCCAAGAACACAATATTCTCTCTCGCGAATTCGCACTTGTCTCTATTTAGTCTGAAACCAGCCGTCTGTAGAGCGTCGAATACACTCGCGAGATGGGACAGATGATCGGTCTCGCTGTCGCTGGCTATCAGTACGTCGTCTAAATATACGATAACGTATTTTTTAAGGTCGGTTCGGTCTCTGAGTGCGGCCTCGATCGCTCGCGTAAATGACGCGCCGGCAGTCTTTAGTCCAAATGGTAACCGCTCGAAAACATAGGTTTGATGATCGAACGAGAATCCGGTATACTGCCTGGATTCTCTTTCGAGCGGGATCTGCCAATATGCCTGCGTCACGTCCAATTTGCTAAAAATCCGTTTTTGCCCTATACTCGCGAGTACCTCGTCGATCGTCGGAGGCTGCGCATGATCGTTTTCCATACGGTCATTAATCGCGCGCGCGTCAAGGCATACGCGGATCTTGCCGTTCGGTTTGGTTACGGCTACGAGTGGACTCAAATATTGCGTCGCGGCTCGGCTCACCACTCCCAAATCCTCCATTTCACGTATCTGGCGTCTAACTTCGTCCAGATGTTTTCGCGCTATCGGATAAAATTTGCTCTTGAACGGTCGCGAGGACGTCATGCGAATCTCGTGTTTATAACCGGTGATCTTACCGAGAGAACCATCCAAGAGTAGACGGTAATGACTCAAAAGGTCTTCGAGTCTGCGCGTGAAGTTATCGTCGATGATCTCGAGTTGGATCTCGGGATCATCGATACGCGCTTCAAGTGTCGTCTGGCTCGATGTCGATTCTTCGATATCCGATGGTCGCAGCTTGACCGTTTCACGACTCGAAATCGAGTCTTCGATATCTCGTTCGTACGATTCGCGTGTCTCGATCTTTGGATCACGCGTTTCGACTGTTTCGATGTTCGCTATCACGGACTTCGACACGGACACTCCACTCGGGTTCCTTGTTTCGCGGGTCTCTTTGACGGGTTTCGCGATATTCGGTCCTTGCACGTCCGTTATTTCGATAATCGCTACGGCAGCCTCCGAAGTCGATGACCTACTCAAGTCTAGCGCTACGTCCGTTTCTTCGGTTCGATTCGCGCCTATCAATGAAATCGGCTTCGGACACGTTACAGCGATTCGGTATTTGCCTAAAAAGTCGGCTCCTAATATCATGGGAATGAACAAGGTTTCGATGGCGTAAAATTCGTGCGAGTATCTTTTTGCACGACCCTTCATGTCTTTTAACTCGATCGTGAGTTGCACGAGTGCGTTCGTATGTACTCCCTTTTGATTAAAGGCCCCTCTAATGTGGGTCTTGTTGATCTTTACTTTGGGAAATAGTTCTTTGTCCCTGACGTCTGTTTTCTCACGGATCTTTTGTTCAAATTCCCGGATCAAATTCGGGTCGACAGCTGACACAGCGGCGCCAGTGTCCAGCAGAGTCTTAACGGTTACGCGATCGATCTCCTGTTCGTTCTCAGCGATCACTGCCACGTCGATCGTGGGAACATGTCTAATGTCCTCTTCGAGATTTCTA